TATGCTTTGTGATATTTCGATGCTTTGATTTTTGTTAAGGCTTGCTTTATGGCCTAATATGTGGTCTGTTCTGGAGAATGTTCCATGGGCGTTGGGAAAGAAAGTATACTTGGCTGCTCTTGGATGGAGTGTGTGGTATATGTTTGTAAGATCAAGTTGGTTGATTGTAGCATTTAGCTCTTCCGTGTCTTTGTTGGGCTTCTTTCTGGATGTTCTGTCCTTCACCAAAAGTGGTGTGTTGGTCTCCTACTACTATTGTGGAGCTGTCTATTTTCTTTTTTCAGTGCTGTTAGAGTTTGTTTTATGTATTTTAGAGCCCTGTCGTTGGGTGTGTAAATATTTATCATAGTTATGTCCTCCTGGTGTATTGACCCTTTAATCGTTATATACTGTCCTTCCTTATCTTTTGTGGTGGATTTTACTTTAAAGTCTATCTTGTCAGAGATTAATATTGCCACTCCTGTGCTTTTTTGAGTGTTGTTTGATTGATATATTTTTTTCTATCCTTTGAGTTTTAGTTTGTTTGTGTCTTAAAGTGTAAGGTATATCTCTTGTAGGCAGCATATAGACAGATAGTGTTTTTTTATCCAATCTGCCACCCTCTGTCTCTTTATTGGTGCATTTAGTCTATTTACATTCAGCGTAATTATTGATAGGTATGAGTTTCGTGCTGTCATTTTGATGTCTTTTTTTGCGTGTTGTTCAGAGTTTCTTTGTCCACTTAATTTTCTGTGCTGAGTCGTTTTTCTTTATGTATTTTGTTTTCATCTTTTTCATTGTTGTTCATTTTGTGTTTGCTGAGTCTTTGTATTTTTCTAGTTTTTTATTTTGACTTGTAGGCTTCTTAGTTTCCTTTATGGTTACCTTAATATTTACCCCAATTTTTCTAGGTTTATACCAGTCTTTTATTTCTCTATATCACCTTGACTTCCTCTCTATATGCAAAATCTATGTCTACATTTTTTTAAGTCCCCTTTTTTGTTTTAATGTTGTCATCTTTTACGTATTGACATCTGTTTCCCTATTTTCATTGTTCTAGCTTTGATTTATTTTTGTGATTTCCCTATCTGGGTTGATATCTGTTGCTCTATCCTGTATTCTAGTCTTGGGTTGTTATCTGATATTACTGATCTTCTAACCAGAGGACTCCCTTTAGTATTTCTTGTAATTTTGGTTTGGTTTTTGCAAATTCCCTAAACTTTCATCTGGAAATGCCCTAATTTCACCATCATATTTGAGAGACAGTTTTGCTGGATATATAATTCTTAGCTGGCAGTTTTTTTCCTTGAAGGCTTTATATATATGATCCCATTGCCTTCTTGCCTGGGTGGTTTCTGCTAAGTAGTCCGAGTGTATTCCTATTGACTGTCCTTTGTAGATAACTTTTCGTTTATCTCTAGCCGCTCTTAAAATTCTCTGTTTATCTTTGGTTCTGGCAAGTTTGATTATAATATGTCTTGGTGACTTTCTTTTGGGATCTACCTTATGTGGGGTTCGAGAAGCATTTTGGATAGATATTTTGTCATTTTTCACAATATCAGGTAATTTTTCTGCCAATAAATCTTCAACAATTCTCTCTATTTTTTGTTATCCCCCCCGTTCTGCTATTCCAATCACTCGTAGGTTATTCTTTTTGACAGCGTCCCACATAATTCTTAGGGTTTCTTCATTTTTTAATTCCTTTTATCTGATTTTTCCTCAAATAAGTTGATGTCAAGTGCTTTATCTTCAGTCTCACTGATTCTGACTTCCATTGCCTCAGTTTTGCTCCTATGACTTTCTGTTGAGTTGTCTAATTCTGAGATTTTATTGTTAATCTTCTGGATTTCTGATTGCTGCCTCTTTATGGATTCTTGCAGCCTGTTAAATTTGTCATTATTCTCTTCTCTAATCTTTTTAATTTCCTCTATTGCGTGTTCTGCATTTTGCATAATTTCGTTCCTGATTTCTTGAAGAGTTCTGTATATTAGTCTTTTGTATTCTGCCTCTGGTAATTCTAAGAAATTTTCCTCTTCTGGAACATTTCTAGATTCTTTATTCTGGGAGCTTGCTGAAGCCATCATTGCTTGTCTCTTTATGTGATTTGATATTGACTGTTGTCTCCTAGCCATAATAAGTTATTATATTTATTTATTTTATGTTTGCTTACTGTGTCCTAGCTTCTTATTTTGTTTTCATGTGCCCAAATAGGCTGCTCGTATGAGCTAGTTTGATTATTGGCACCTTTGAAGCTCTAATGTCCTGTCACTAGTGGTTAGATCTATTACTAGGTATGTGAGCTCAGGAGTCTGCCCACCTTCCTGTATGGATTCAGCTCAGGTGACCAGATAGATAGCCACCATGTGTGTGGTGTAGGCTCTCCCTTACAGTCCTAGACAGGCATGGGTGATTGGTATAGGCACAGGCATCTGGCTGCAGCAGGGGGACACACTCTGATCAAGGCGGGGCTGACGGCTGCCCTCGAGTGTCCAGGAGGAAGGTGTGTCCCTGTTTCCTAGAGCGTATAGGTGGGTGGGTTTTGCAGCTGGACTATGAGCAGCTGCTGCTGTTGGCTGTAAGGACTGGGGGGCAGCAGTTATTCATGGGCCGCTCTTGCAGGTGGCTAGGTGGCATGGGTGTAGCCACAAGTCCTTAGGCCCCTGATGTGGGTAGGTGAAGACCCTGCTTAATGGGCAGAGCAGTGTCAGATGTCAAGAACCTGCCGCTTTACAGCTGAAACAGTTGAAGTTAGAGTTCTGGTGTATACCCTGCTGTACTGCAGTAATGAGGGCCTACGCTGTTGAGATGGGCCCACACAAGTCTATGCAGGGGGAAAGGCACTCAAAGGCCGTGGATTCCCTTATGCCTGTTACTGGGAAAAGGAGCTCTGCCTACCCTGAGTTCCTGGCTCAGGGGAGTCGGCAGTTTATTTTTGCCCCTGTTTGTTAATTTGTTCACTCTCCAAGGCAGGGAGAATGGCTCTGGGCATGTGATGGTTCCTACTTCCTGTCCAGGGGACTGGGCAATTCCTGAAGCTGGTCCAGGACCCAGTGCAGAGCAGGGAGCGGGGAGGTAAATGGGTGAGAGGTTTTTCCCTAAGGGGAGTGTTTTTGATCTGCGCAGTAATCTGTACGCAAGTACTTATCTTTTATGAGGGCTGCTTTTCACTGGTTCTGGGTGGCCGAGTAGATTTTCAGCAGCTAGGTCTCTCCCGGTGCGGGAAAATGTGCCTCCTGAGCAAGGCTGCTTGCCTGCCTCACCGCTCACCCCTAAGCTGATCAGGCCTGAAGTGCTCAGGCTCTCGCCTGGCAACTCCTCGCTGCTTCCGAACATCTCTCCCTCCCCCTGCCACTCCGTCCGGTTCCTTAACTCTGCCTTTGATGTTCGGGGCTCCCAGATTGCCATATATAATTGAATCACTTGTTTTTTTTGGGTCTTTGTTGTAAGAGGGTCCACCAGAACGCCTGACTACTCCGCCATCCTGGCCCTGCCTTCTCCAGGGGCATTAGATGTTGAGCCCCTCAATATCACTTGTGGCCATGAGGTGTTCCCTGCCATGTATGCAAGGTTTTCTCTTTGTACTTTGGAACAAGATTTGCCAGGCCCTGCTTGCTGTTGAGTAGACCCAGGATTTTCACCAGCCGTGTTGTTACTGCTGTGTGGTTCCTGCTGATCAACACCTGATTAGAGTATGTGTTAAAAATTTCTATTATATATCTTGACTCTTGGGGATAAGCTTGAGTTTTTACAGAACTCTCAGAGAGAGGATGGACCATCTGGGTTTTTTTTCCTGCTCCTGTAAGAATTTGATCCTTATTCATAAATGTGTATAAGAAAGGGGCCAGGCAGCAGCTGGCAGTTTAGTTGACTCACTTACCTCCGTCCTAAATCTGGATTTCAATAAATGGTGTATTGTTCTTCTTCTCAGAAAGAGACAAGCAGTGCCCTGACCCATGCCGGAGCTCATCTTGACCTTTCTGCTTTCTCTTCCTGGGAGGTATGTTTCCTGTAGCTGTTGTACTGAGCTTACTTGCCCCTCCTTCTGAGGGAGCACTCACTCTCTTGTTTTTATGCCATGATTGTATTATGATAAGACACCAGCTCCTGGGACCAGGCATCTACAAAGAATGTGGGAAACTTAAAAGAAGACAAAAATTATGTAACTTTTTTTGAAAACTGTGTAAGAACACTTCTAACTACATTAAGTTATGGTGGAGGTAATGGTTAAGGGTGAACTTGACCACAGGGTCAGTACTTTGGAGAGCTTGAACTTATGCTAGGAGATCGGCTATGGAATGTGTAGTTCTGCCACAGCCTCAGGAACACCCACATACCAGCCTGAGAAGACTTGGGTTTGAGCATTTGTCATTTCCCAAATTCTACTTATATAATATTATAACTTTTCCCTTTTTTGTACAGGAGTTGGCCTCCCTGGGTCTGGACAGATTGAAATCTGCACTGTTAGCTTTAGGCCTGAAATGCGGCGGGTGAGAGACTGGTTTTTTGATCATAACTGTCCCATTTAGTGTCTGTTGGCTAGATCTTCTAAGTCTCTGATTCCATTGTTTGTCACCCTACGCTGTAAAAATGAGCACATCTGTATGATGAACTAACCCTGAAATCCTTTGCCCTCTGTTCTCCTTAGGACCCTAGAAGAGCGAGCCCAGAGGCTGTTCAGCACCAAAGGAAAGTCCCTGGAGTCGCTTGACACCTCCCTGTTTGCCAAAAATCCCAAGTCAAAGGGCACCAAGCGGTGAGTGGCTGAGGTGGCACCTCTATTTACGTCTTATTTTATTATTAAGCATAAATTTACCATAACAGGGATTTTAAAGTCAGTTTTATCATCATTTTTGGTTCATAGAGATCTAGTCCACTCTTTGTGTCTGCTAATGATAGAGAGTACTGTCACTGTTACCAGAAAACCAAGAGCAATTTGTACTCAGGAGATCAGGAGTCGGGGAAGTCTCTTAATGTTGAAACGGTGCTCTAGGCACCTTTTGTTACCTCAGTAGGTTATGGAGACTAAAAGGCTAAATAGTTTCAAAAAATATTTTTGTAAGCTTATTTTGCTAATGACAGTTGAATGTATTCTTGAGCCATGTACTTGTACAGGGCGTTTTTTGTTTGTCTTTTTTCTGATTCTCACAATACTTCTAAAAAGTTGTCCTTACCCTGATTTTTTTAAACAGGTAAGGACTTAGAAAGTTATAAAATGTTTCCATAATACTCTCACAATTACTTAGCAGCAGGGCCAGTATTTGGGCCCAGGTCAGCCTGACTCCAGAGCTCTTTCTTCTGTACCTCATTTCCTTTGTAGATTATAATGATAGAAATTTAAATGTTGTTGATAAGCTTTTCACCTTCTAGAATGAGATCAAAGAGGAAATTTCCATGCATTCCAAGATATAACCTCAGTACTTGTATCTGCAAGTCCTGAGCTGAACAGATGATTTGCTTTCAGCATGATATTTCTTATGCACTTGTAATTTTTAATGTAACTGTGGAATAAATACTCCCAGATAGGGGGAGCAAGGTATTTGGTGAGAAAACACTTGAGTGATACAGCTCATTTCTTGTTTTCAGGGACACTGAGAGGAACAAAGACATTGCTTTCCTAGAAGCCCAGATCTACGAATATGTAGAGATTCTCGGAGTGAGTAAATGACTCTGTTGAGGACTGTAAATGCTAGAAGGTGTGGAAGTGAGATAGATAAGAACTCAGGCAGGATATTTTCTCAGGGTTTAAAAGAGGAAGAGGGTAGGCATTAAACTGGTGGAGCAGAAAATGGGGTTTTCTCAGTGTCCGTATCCTTTCCTTAAGTCCCTGTTCTACCATCAGCTATATTTCCAAGATTGTCCAGTTCCTATGGGGCTAGAGATCTCTTTTGGGTCCTGGTATAGAGAATAGGCTCCTTTCTCAGTGTAGTATCCAGAATAGTGCCTGAGCTCCATATATCCAGGAGATAGCCAAGAAGTAGACAGTCAAAAGGCAAATAAGAGATAGGCTACTAACAGCAGCTTTGTGGGTATGACTTATTATGAATAGTCATTACTTAACATGCTCAGGAAATTGTAGGAAACTTATTAAGGCTGTAATGTTAGTGGTATAAAGCTGCCTGTGAGCTGCTCTTTGAATATTCTTTCAGGAAGGAGTTGAAGGGTAGGCTAGGGGTGGGGAAAAGCTGAGCCTGACTAAGATACTAAGATATTTTAGAGAGAAGGCAAGGGAGAAGAGTAGGAAAATAAGCCTCTTTCAGGGAAGTGAAGGTGGAAAAAAGGGCAGTGTTCATCGAGAGGAAAATGGTTAGTGTCTCAGAGAGTCCTGGGGGAAGGTCAGCCTTTCTGACAGTGTCTGCTTTTAGAATTTTCAACTGCTCTCTGAGCCTTTCTCTTTGCAGATGCTCAGGTGGTATTTGAATGGGTGGCTCTGGCTCAGCTAGCTATCTCCTGGGACGTTTACGTATCTCTGTCTCTTGTCATGGATGTTTTCATTCTCCCCTTGGTTTGAGGAACCCCCCTATAATAGCTAATAAACTTACCACCTGTTGGTTTCCTCTATTATGACTATTTTCAGTGAGAGGAGACTAGACGGACATTGGAAATTGTGGGCACTTGTGTTCTCCACGAGGAGCCCTGGTGGCGCAAACGGTTAATCGCTTGGCTGCTAACCAAAAGTTTGGGTGTTTGAACCCTCCCAGTGACTTCACAGGAGAAAAGACCTGGCTTCTATAAGGAGTACAGCCTAGGAGACCCTACTGTGTCCTGTAGGGTCGCTGGGAATCAACTCAATGGCACACAGCAATATATTTTCCACAGTGAACTTGGGCTGTGCTAGGGTGGGCAGCAGTGTGAGTTGCCAATCCTCTGAAGATGGCCGGGAGGGTAATTTATGCCCTTGACATGAGATGCAGCCACTGCTGTCTCCCTTCTTTGAAAGCATCTTGCTTTCCCTGCCAGGAAGTGGCACCATTCTCTTGGAATTTGAACCAGTTCCAGCCAAAATGGCCTTCGGAGGTGGCTCTCATTATATACTGCTATGATTTTTGCCGTTGTTTCACCATTTATTGATGCCTGTTGGTTTCCAGGGATATTGTGCTAGGTATTTGGGTACATTAGTTCATATGACACAGCCTGTTACCCTTGAAAAGCTCCCCGTATAGTTGGTTGGGGGAGACAGACAAACAATTGCAGTGTAATGTGACACATGCTGTAATACACTGAGGTTGAGTTCTCTAAGTAGAAAGAGGGAGAAAAAAGGTTCCAAGCAGAGGAAACGTCAAGTACAAAGGTACGATATGAAAGAAAATTATATGTCCAGGGACTACTGAGAAATTTGATGTGGCTGGAGTGTGCCTTGTGAGGAAAAGAGTGGTCAGAGAAAATTTAGGAGAGTTATCTTACATATTTGTCCTGTAAGCAGTAGAAAGTTCTTTATGCAGGAGAGAGTGCCTGTAGATTTGACTTTAAAAAGATAATCTGCAGATAATCTGGCAGCAGAATGGAAGGAGGACTGGAATGGAAAGAGACTCAGGGCCAGTTTGAAGGTGATGATCTTGGTGAGGGCAATGATAGTGGAAAGGAGGAGAAAGGATTGGTTCAGGAAATATTTTAGAGACAGAATAGATGAGACTTTGTTCTCTGTTTTTCTGTAATAATCTGCGCCCTCTGATAAATAATTTAGGCAAATGGCCTAAAAGTTTTTACTTTTTCCTGGGAGATCAGTGAGGGCCTGCTGATAAGGGGGTGTGATATGAAGGCAGGACTTTCCCTTTAGTCTCCAAGAAAGAAAACCTTACACTTGGAGTGAGGGATCAGCAGGGGTTATGGGAAAACAGTAGGAAGTTTCCCTCTGATTCTGCACTGTTTTTCCTCTGACTTCCCTTTTCATTTATGGACTTGCCTTAGGAACAGCGACATCTCACTCATGAAAACGTACAGCGCAAGCAGGCAAGGACGGGAGAAGAGCGAGAAGAGGAGGAGGAAGAGCAGATCAGCGAGAGTGAAAGTGAAGATGAAGAGAATGAGATCATTTACAACCCCAAAAACCTGCCCCTTGGCTGGGATGGCAAAGTAAGTCCTGGCACCACCACCCATTGCCCCCGTCCCCCGTTTTGGAAGCAGTGCAGCCCTTAGCAGACGTTGGTCTAATGCCATTTCTTATCTGATTTCTTTTAGCCCATTCCCTACTGGCTATATAAGCTTCATGGCCTAAATATCAACTACAACTGTGAGATTTGTGGAAACTACACCTACCGAGGGCCCAAGGCTTTCCAGCGGCACTTTGCTGTAAGGAATTCAGAGCCATTTCTCCTGGGAATTGAAGTATGAAACCTGAGACTTTAGGGAAGAGGATGGAGCAGCCTGAGAGGATCACTAGTGCGCAGAGCTTCAGGGAATTAGAGAGGGAGCAGGTCTAAAGTCAGGCATAAGGCATATGGCCTTAGGCACCAGTGCTAGTCTTAAATAATGCCTGAAAGTTTCCGGTTCATTCTGCCACTCTGTTATTTGAACCTCATTTCCGTTTTCTCTTGCTTATTTTAGTACTGCTGTCTCTTTTTTCTTTCTACCAACATCTTAGACCAATCTGACTCCTTGGTCATTTCTCTACCCCGTTACTTGGGACTAAAGAGGGTGCTGACCACATCTCCCTTTGGGACTTAAATGAGCCTTTGCCTCTTTGAATAAAAAACCAATGAGATGACATTTATCAAGTTATTCTTGAGACAAGGAATTGTCTGTGTAGCACTCCAGTAAGTGGGTTTACCCTTGTTTTGCTTCTGCCTTCAATTCTTAGTACTTGGAGGAAATTTTTACAAAATAGAAAAGACTAACTAGTCCTAGGATTGCAAATGTGTGTGAAGTCCTCATTCCCTCCCTCCTTCACACCAGATGTTGCTAATTTACCCTGGCTCTTTCCAGCTGAGCCCTTGAGTGGTCTGTGAATCTTTCTGAACACTGCCTTTCCAGCCAATTGCAGTTGGCATACAGGATAAAGCCCAGCCCATTTGTCATCACTCAGCCAAAACTGTCATTTTGTCAGTCTCTCCTTCCTCTCCCTCACCTCTTTTCTCACACCTGGTAAACAAACTTCTTTACTTACAAAGATGACACTGATCTACCAGTAGTATACCTTACACAAGGCTACTTGTGCAGATTGTGTGGATTGCTTGGGCTGCATCAGGCTACCCCCAGCATGGGAGGTGACTGGTCAGAGTTGTGTTTTCTGTGATCGCAACCCAAAGATTTTATCTGAAAAACTACTGGATCTAGGATCTAGATTTTATAAACCAGCTCAGGGAGGCAAACAATGCAATGCGTCTTTGAACTGTGTACGTCCTGTCAGTCACATCCAGCTATTTACAGACATCTGCTAAAGGAATGATGCCTTTAGGTGGAGTCTTTTGCAAAGGGTCAGGTAAAGATTTATGAGTAGAGTGAACTTAACGCTCCATGTTCAACTTTTCCCATTTCACGTCCTTTTGCTTCTCTTTTCTCCCAGGAATGGCGTCATGCTCATGGCATGAGATGTTTGGGCATCCCAAACACCGCCCACTTTGCTAATGTGACACAGATTGAAGATGCCGTCTCCTGTAAGTCAACTCTATTTATTGTTCTTAGGCCAGACCAAGTGCCCACTCCTACAACTCACTGTCCCAATACCCTGGTGAATCAGGCCCAAGGGCAGCAGGTTGTACGCATGTAAAAACTGGAACAATCATATAATTACGGATTTTTAAGGAGAGTGACTTAGTCAGCAGTATTGATTGTTCCTCCCTTGAGAAGAGTCCTACGCTGAGTGTAAAATAGGAATTCTTAACCTGAGATCTGTGAACTCCCCTGTGTGTAAGATTATGAATGAATGGTTACATAGATAGTCTCCGACTTACCATGAGGTTCTGTTCTGAACCATAAGTTGATTCTAATGTAAGTTGAATACCACTTTCTTTTTTTTTTGTGGGTTTTCATTATTATTGCCTTATTAGTATGGGTATCTTTATGTATCATAACATTGAACATACATGACTGAACATCTGAGAAAGATAACATCAGCAAATTATGCACTGCAACATTGTATGTAGTAGTTTTTACTAATGATAAGATGTACCAAAAAAAACTACAGTTGTAAGTGCACTTTGTCGTAGCTCGAATATGATGTAAGTTGGGGACTACCTGTATGTATATCTTCTGAATTGTTTTTAATATATTAAGAACCTTATGCTAAGTGAAATAAGTCCATCACAACAGGGCAAATATTGTATGAGACCGCTGTTATAAAGTAACAACAAACGACTTACACACAGAAAAAAAACCTGTTTGATGGTTACCAAGGATCGGAGGGGGAGGGAGGGAAAATTACCAAAGAGACAGTAGACACGTGTTTATATTGGTGAAGGGAAAGGCAATACACAATATGGGAGAAGATAGCACAGCATGACCAAAGCAAGAGAGGACACTGCAGGGAACACAGGAATAAAGAACAACTGTGGTGACTACCATAGCATAGAAAGTCCTGCAGCAATAGTATTAACAAAGAATAATCTACAGATGGGTACATAGATAGATATGCCAAGAGGTGAGGGAGGGGTAAGGGAGCACACCCACCAGCAGATACAGGTTTGGTAGTGGAAATTTCTAAATACATGACTAGATGCTCCTCATATATTGATATAGACAATAGAGCACACAAGTGGCACAGTCAGGAAAACTTCTCAGACATAACTAAACACCTCTCCGGAAGAAATTCCCAGGCTTGTAGGCAAAGGACCATAGACATCTACATCAATTGGCACAACGTAGTTCTTAAACAATATTCTGCATCCTGGGGTCTTAAAAGTTTGCAAGCAGCAGTCTCAGATATAACTATCAGTCTCTTCTAGTCCAGAGCAAAGGAGAGTGAAAAAAAACTAAAGACTCAAGGGAGTAATTAGTCCAAAGAACTAATGGACCACATGAACCACAGCCTACTTAACCCTGAGACTGGAAGAACTAGATGGTGCCCAGCTACCACTACCAACCGCTCTGACTGAGATTACAACACAGGGTCCTGGACAGAGTGGGAGAAAAACGTAGACTAAACGTAGACTAAAAAATCAAATTCACAAAAAAGACCAGACTTAAATTGGTCTTACAGAGACTGGAGGAACCCCCGAGACTATGGCCTCCAGATCCCCTTCGAACTCAGAACTGAAGCCACTCCCGAGGTTCACCTGCCAAAGATTAGGCAGGCCTATAAAACAAACAGTAACACACGTGAGGAGCGTGCTTCTTAGATCAGTAACATACGAGACTAAATGGGCAACACCTGCCCAAAAAAAAATGAGAAGGTGGGAAGGGACAGGAAAACTGGACTAATGGAACTGAGGAACCTGAGGTGGAAAGGGGGAGGGGTTAGTGGTGACACATGCAGGAATTGCAACGAATGACAGAAAACAATTAGTGTATATAAATTTTTGAATGAGAAACGAATTTGCTCTCTGAACTGTCACCAAAAATACAATTGAAAAAAGAAAAAAAAAATGTTAAGAACCACTAATATATAGAAAAAATAGAAATGGTTTCAGTAAGCTTATTTCTGAGGCCACAGGGCAGACACATAGAACAAAACAGCAAGGTACATCTTGGAGAAGGATGTGGCATGCACACCAGGAAATGTGTTATTAAAACATCCAGGGGTCCTCGAGCCCAGACTTCCTATTTTCCTGGCAGTAGTAGCTTTTTCTACTGTTAGCATCTTCCTTACAAGCTTTTTATTTCTTTCTTGTTTATCTCTTCTGTGTTATGTTTTCACTTTCAACTAGTTAGACTGAGAAGATTTATTTTACCACTCCACTTTGTTAAATTACAGGCACTCAGTAGTACATGGGCCAAGAAAAACAGAAATAGAAATATGTAGAAATAAAAATAGAAAATACAATTTCATGTGTCTGCCTGTAAAATATATTGTATCTTTGTGTCTGATATTTGTATAGTTGTTTGTAAAAGGTTTATATCCACTTGGAAAGAAGTGCTTCTCTTTCCACGTGTAGATTGGTTTATACTTCCTGCAGTGTCCAGGTCTTTAATTTCATACTTTTATCTATTCATTTTTAATTCTGATAGAGACATGTTGACATTTCCAATTATGGTTAAGTTTCATCCCTTATTGCACTTCTGCCAGTTTTATATGAATTTTGTTTTGTGTTTGAGCCACACAAACTAAGTATTGTATCATAAACTTATTATTCATTTCCATTTTCTTTTTGACATCCTGTTTATCTGATGTCATTGTTTGTTCTGTTGTGATAGACCATTTCCCCAGTTATCAAGATTTTTACAACAAATATTGGCTATTTTTTTATCCCAGTGTTCAATATTTGTCATTATAGAGAAGTATTAAGGCTTTTACACTCAGTGTATTAATTGATCTGTTTGTATTCATCTCCTTTCTGGAAAGGTTATCTTAAATTTGTTAGGTTTGTTTGTACTTCTCATTTACATGGTTTGTTTAGTAGTTTTTAAAGAACTGCTTTTAGACAGGTATTTTTCCAACATTTCTAACTTTAACGTTTTGACGAATAGTTTATTTCTACTACTAATTTCTATTATTGTCATAGATAATATATGTAATGTGCATTGTATAATATATATAGTATATATATATATATAGTATACTAAGTTGAATTATTTATGGAAGATAAATTATATTTCAGTGGTCTGAAGCACTGTAAATTCCATGCTTCTTTCTTTTCATAATTTATCCGCAGATTTTATTTTGTATTTTTAATCTTATCTTCTCTATCATTATTCTTAACATCTTATTTATAAAAAGTGATATTTCTGCATTTAAATTTCTATTGTCTTGCCATGATCTTGGTTGATAAATTCTGTCAAGTTCTTTGGTTGTGATATGTTCTGTTTCAAGGGTAAAGTTGGCTCAAAACCACATTCCTAATGTAGTTTCTCGTGGTGGTTAAGAAGTCAGGGTCTGCAGAGTCAGCCTACTGGGGTTCAATCATGGCTCCACCTCTTACTAGCTGTGGGATCCTGGGCAAGTTACTTACCTCTCAGTGCCTTAGTTTCCATATCTTTAAGATGTGGGTGACAGTAATATATCTACTAAAGAGAACTGTCTTGAAGTTAGATCATATGGGTTACAAGCATAAAACAGTGTAGTATGTTGTTAGTAAGCACAACTGCCATCATCACCGTCTTCATTTGTGGGCTCTTCTGCAGTGAGGAGTGAGATCCAAAGTCATTTCCATCTTTTCATTCGAAGTTTAATATTGCTAATATTGCTAGAGACCACTTATCCAAATGCCTGTTAATATGACAAGTACTATGGGAGATGTTTTACGCTCATGTAATCCTGACATCAGCCCACGACGTGGTAGGTGTCACCTGCATTTTCAGATGAGGGAATTGAGACCCAGAGAAGTCAGGTACCATCGCCAGGTTGCATAGCTTTTAAGTGGAAAAGCCAGGGATCATAACCATGTCTGTCCTGTAACATAATAGGACACAGTGCTCCACTGCCTTCCTTTAAATCACCCTCATCAAGTTGTGGATCGATCGTTAAGGGTTGTTCCAGAAGGAACCTTCATGTGTTCTCTAAGAGCCATGCAGAGATTTTTAGGAATATTTTACTTTTTTCTGGGATGTTATAGGCAGGTTCATGATACTTCCATTACCCATATCATTTTAAGAATATGTCCTTATTCTGCTGTCCAAGTTAATCAGTTTCTTTATGTACATGTTTTTATTATTGCCAAGTCTTTGATTTCCTGTATCAGTTCTGCCCATCATGGCTTCCTTTGATATTTTTAGGTTCTCTACATAGCATTTATAGTTTTACTTCTATCTCAGTGTTATCGCTTTCTCTTTGTATTTTTTTCCCCATCCTCTATAGGAGTATTCATAGGCTTGTTACAATTTTATTGTCACTTTTTCCCCCTTTTCCGTTTCAGGTGTTATTCCTCCTTTTAAGTATCTTAGATTATCTGGCTTCATTACAAGCTTTCAGTAACATAAGTAGGTGGTTATATACATGTAGACTCTCACAAGGCTGACTGTTTCTCAGGTATCTGGCTAATAAACAAAAAAGACAAAACAAAACAAACCTGTTGCCATCCAGTGGATTCTGACTCATACTGACCCTATAGGACAGAGTAGAACTGCCCCATAGCGTTTCCAAGGAGCAGCTGGAAGTAATAAATGTCAGTAATTACTGAGTTGAATTTAATTCTTATATTATGGAGAGTTTCTGCAATTTTTATTTCCTATTGGTGGTATAATTCTTTTTGATTAAATCTGAATTGCTGTTTTTGTTTTTAAGCATTTAAACTAGATCTTAGGGATTTTTGGTTATAAGGAAAAGAGTCTACTAAACACTAGCCCAGTGCCCTCCATCTATTTGCAAGAATATGCTTATTGTGTGGTGCTTCTCTTTGTAGATCACCTGTTTCACTTCCTTGTTTTTTATCTATTAACCTCAGTTGCCAATGAAGGCAACTCCAGGCCTCTTTCTGTATGACCTTTTTCAGTTTTAAGATTCCGCATCATCCAGCTCACATAGTCTTTCAGTGTCCGAATTTCTCATACATGGGAAAGACAATAGGTAGGCACAGCAGGGTCAGGTGCCATCTGTAGTCCTGTAGGCTGTGTCTCCAGTAATGCTGGTGGTGAAAATAGTTACTAATGTAGGGCTTCTCCTCCAGGGCCTGTCCGGGAAACATGTGCTCTTGGCACAGTTGCTACACTGGATTTTACCTGTCTTTGTTTTAGATTATTCTGTTGAAGTTTTTCTTTTCTCTCTCTTGGAGCTCTTAGCCAGGAGAGAGGGATTCAGCACTGTCATTTAAGCTGCATCTCCTCAGAAGTTGCAGTTGGTTTTATTTATTTTTACTTAAATGAAGAATTTCACTTGTAAATTTATCCATTATTCCAGACAGTTGATATTTAAAAAAAAAAAAAGTTGAACGAAAAACGGCAAAGGAAGAGTACTGCGGAATTGCCACCAGGGACCTCCGTTTAAGTGGTTGGTCACGCTTCACCAGTATTTAGCAGTTATAAATCTATCTACCTAGTAAACAATGAACTGCTAAAGCATCAAGTCCAAAGATTGCTATCTCATTTATAATACTTAAACATCTTAGCAAAATCTAGGTACATTGCCTATAAGAGCAGGTGCTTTGCTAAAATGATGATATCCTGTGTCTGTGGCCTTTTATTGAGTCAAGTATCACATCAGAAACAGTTTACTTGACTTAGTAAACCTCCCTGGCGCCTAATGGTGATCACATTCTTTTCTAATTGCTCTCAGAGTTCTCTGAAGAATAACGCCTCACTTACTGCTCTAGTTTCCCACATCCATGTTTTCGTTTAAGAAAATCATGACAGCATTTCCCATCCTCCGGTATTTTAATACTTCTCTGGTTTAACTTAGCAGATTCCAGAATGGCATGGACAACGACTATGTCAGGGCCCTGTCCTGGCACATAGGAAGCACATGATAAATTCTCCACTCTTTCCTGATAGGCCTGCTATCTGGGTCTGAAGACTTTAGCTAATTTATAGCAATTAGCAAGGAGGGAAAAAGGAAAAAGAAAAAACATTTGTTGAACATCTGTGTAGCAGGCACAGAGCTAAGCATCTTTACATACATTGTCTCATTTTCTATTTCTTAGGCTTCAACTTTCTCTCTCTCTACTCTTGTCAGGTGTAAAGATTGTTCCACTTAATGGGAAAGATGGAAGCATATAGGAATCAAGTAGTTAAGTCTTCTCATTGTCATCGACTAATGTTTTATCATCTTCCCTCCCTAGCAGCAGACCTATCTTATCTATTCCCTGTATCCATTTGTGCTGAGAGTGTACCTTCTTGACGTCATTCTTAAAGATGCGTGTCATTCTTTCCCTGGTTTTGTGTCTGTCTTATCTGATTGCTCCCCTCCGCAGTAGTTTTGTAGCTATCTTCCTTTTCCTGTCTTCAGTGGGACGGTTTGTTAATGAGCTGACAGAATTTTGTCTTTAATGTCTCCCGTGTCTGTTGAGCCATCCTATCTTTTAGACTCTGTGGCCATGATAGCACACCTGTTTTTCTCTGAAGTTTTTGAAATATATGTACCAGATTAAGCGGACGTATTTGACATATTTGGTAGCGTTCCTTTTCTCTCTTATTATAGTCTTTAAGGCAGTAAGGCCACTTTGTCCCAAAATTCCCAGAAGTTGTTCCATATAAACTAAGTTCTTCCTTCAAGAGCATCATTTTTCTGTTCTGTGAGGTCTTCGGTTATATTTGATCTAATTTTCTTTTACAGTAAAACAAAGATTGTGATAAATTTTGCAGTCGAGGGGGTTTTGTCTGTAGGTGGTCCAGAACCAAAACTGCAGTTTAGGGCAAGCAAGAGTCCCAAGGGCAGTGTCATCTAGGGAGGCCCTGAGTAGGGGGGAGGGTGGTGTTGTACACTGTGTCCCCAGTGGATGCTCACTGAATCCTGACTGCTGCGTGTTTCTCATCCTGCAGTGTGGGCCAAGCTGAAACTGCAGAAGGCATCAGAGCGGTGGCAGCCTGACACTGAGGTGGGTGCTAACGTAGGGGATTAGGATCTGGGACAAAGTCAGGGACAGCATCAAGTGACAGAGCTCTTTCACCATGTAGAAGGGAGGAGAACATGTCCCTTGATCATGGCAGTAGCTAGTATAATGTGACAGTATCAATACTTTGGCTCTTGACATGGAAGCCTAATTTGTCTGTGATATTTAATATGTCCCACTTTAAATCTGTGTCTTAAGACAGGTCAGATTCTCCTACTGAAAATGCTTTTTTTAGTGGTAATCAGGAGTACCCAATCTTTTGTCCTGCCACAGGGGTTCATAAGCCATGAAGTTGAGAATCCTTATCACAAGTGACGTCTACTTTGAGGAAAGCCTCTAATGCGAGGTGATCCTCTGGTAGGGGTGAGGAGGCTTCCTGGTTGGTCTCTGAACAGCACGTTTCAGAGATGGAGGATGATGTGTATGGGGGGAGGTATGCTGGCAATTCACCCTGAGTCCCACACTGACGGGCAACAGGCTTCCTTGACTTAGGTCAGTGGTTTTCAGCGTTTCTTTTTTAAGCAGCAAAACCCTTTGCAAACAAACTGTGATGTGGAACTCCAATATATAAATTAGAACGAAGCAGAACTTCTCTGTGGGAAAGCACAGTCTTCTTGGCTTCCCTGTCACCCTGTGCACCGGCCTCTTAGGCAGAAACCTGGAAATCGTTTGAAAGCTCTTGTCTTAGATCTGCCTTTCTCAAGTAGGATTCCTCATCTGAAACACGGAACGTGATTCAAATGAACTATTTTCTCAGATCTTCCAAGGACAGGTCATAACTCAGAACAGTACCATTCCAGGTCCCCAGGAGAGAAGTTAATTCACTACACAGTGGATGCCTCCGGGCAGTAGAGCTTGATTCTCTCGGGGAACCCCAGTGAGAAGGGCTGTCTTAGATGAACGCCACTCTTGGAGTACCAAGATGTGCTGTGAAATCAGGCCAGGATGAGTTCAGGTGCCCAGATATTGGTTCCAAACATTTTCTCCAGCGGGTATAGCTGACAACGTGTACCCCCCTTCCTTTTTAGGAAGAGTATGAAGACTCCAGTGGGAATGTCGTGAATAAGAAGACTTAACGAGGATCTGGAAAGACAAGGACTGCTCTAGTGTTCTGATCTGTCTCAGCCGTTGGGCTTGCCCCGGCTTCCCGGAGATTGGCTTTTTCTACTTCTCCCCATCACATGCTCCTCGGGACTCTTTGCTAGTAGTCTTGTGGCCTGGCATGCATCTTGTAGAAACAAGGCATGTTGGCAGATTGCAGGGTTGAGATGTGTTTTATCTTTGTTTTATATTAAAAAGGATTCTGTCAGAAATTAAAATCAGCATTTCTTCTGAATGTGTCTTGTTTTGAAGCTATGTGGCAAGGACATGAATTTTGGGGGGCCAAAGGGTGGAATATAACGGATTGAAGTGTGTATCCAAAAAGTATGTGTTGTAGATCTTAACATCTATGCCTGTGGTTATAATCGCATTTGGGAATGCGTTGTCTTTGTTATGTTAATGAGGCAGGATTTGTGCAGAGTGCTTTTTAAGTCAATCTCTTTTGAAATATAAAAGAGATTAAACAAGCGTGAGAAGCAGAGATGGGGGAAGACACATGCCAAGCCACATGACGATTGCTAAGGAGCAGAAACTCAGAGACAAGGACCTTCCTCCAGAGCTACAGAGTCTTCCCCCTAGATCTGGCACCCTGAAATGGGACTTCTAGACCTTTTCAGTAGTCACTTGTTTGGTAGGAGAAGGTAGCATAGAGTTTCCCTGTTAAAGAAAGTGGGAGGAAGATTCGAGGGCCTGGGATTTCTGTTCAGACTTAACGGAGTGAATGCTGGATAGAGGCCAGGCTGGACGCCATCTGTGCCTATCCCACTTGTCCAGCCACCATACAGATCAGGGAGGCGTGAAGGAGACACTCCCATTCTTAGGGGCTGGTGAGGTGGTGGTCCCCTCGGCTGGAGTGGGAAGCAGCTTGACCTCAGGGACAATCAGATGGTCTAGGTCTGGGGACAGAGCATAGCTGCTTGGGAAATGCTAGGACACCTCTGCTGTTCCTCTGCAAAGTCCAAACTCCCTCCACAAGAGAGGGCGTTTTTAGATGTGGGCACCTGATGTTCCTCCCTCTGCATGCCACCCTGGACAAGGACAGGAGTTGGGCTCTGCTTCCTTGGTTCATGATGGTAGGGGAGCACTGGATCAGCTGGGCTGGGAAGAAAGTTGGGGCAGGGTGTTGGTGGGTGGAGCACTGAAGATAGAAAGCTAGGATTTCGCAGGGTAAGGAGGGTAGACTTCAAAGATAAGGGGTGAGCCAGGCAAGGTGCAGAAGTTAGAGTGTTGATAAAGGTAAACTCAGAATTAAGGGGTTGATGAGAATTTGAGCTTAGAGTTGGGGGCCTGTCAAAGGTCAGGGTTCAGTATTGGAAGTCAGTAGACTGGCAAGGCTCAGAGCTGGGGAGAGATGGAACAGAGCTCAGAGCTTACGGGCCAGTGGGAGCAGTAATCTGAGTTGGGGGGCAATGGAGAAGGGGTTCAGAGCTGCAGGCTGGTGGGGCAGGGCTCAGAGTTGGAGGGTGGGGCTGTCTCACTTGAGGCTGGCTCCATGAGTGCCAGGCAGAGTGGCCTGCCACCGCAGCACTGTAGGTACAGCCTCCTGGGCTGGGGTCGTTGGACAGCAGGCAAGGGCTGGGACCCATTTCACCTGCCCCCTCACAGCTGAGGCCGCACCGGCCAGCAGTGTAGTAGGAAGAATTGAGTTGAATCAGCCGGGCAAAGGGAGTGTGGAAGTGTCAAGGAGGATGAAGGACCGAAGCCCCAGGCTGTATTTCAACTCCTCCCAGCATCCCAGATACTGACTCTTCTCCCTTCCCCTTCAGTATCTCTTCCCAGCACCTTAGTGAACCTGAGTGTCAGAACCCCTCCCACTCCCTGCAGCAGCCCTCCTCCATACCTGTTCAGAGTCGCATCCTGTCTGGGGCCCCAAGGTAGCCTCCACCACCCCCTCACCTCACTGTGGTGCTCCCCGAGGCCACACTTTGCTGTCTGGTTGGAGAAGTCTGCCTCCTGGTAGAACATCTCTCTGAAGCGTTGGAATCTGTGGCATATCTGTGGAAGAGTTTGAACACTGGCCCCATTCCCACAGGATGAAGGCATTAGGGAGGCTTGCCCCTCCTTCGTTTGCTGCTTACCTGGACAGTGGCAGGGGGACTTCTCTCCAGGTTCTGGGCTACCAGTAAGACCAGCAGGAGGACTGGTAGGGAAAAGGAAAGAGGGAACCACTGCAGAAGTAACCAGCTCAAGGGTCACAGGTCAAGGAAAGCTCATGCAGTGGTCAAGTAGAAGAGGTCATGAAGTCAGGGAAAAGTAGGGGCTGTTTCAGGGTCCAGCATTAGTCAGGGGTCAGGATTGGTCACAGGGTCTAGGAAAGACTAGTGTTCCCGGCTGAGGACAGCTACCTCTGAGCAAGGCAGCACTATGGCTACCATTGGCCATAGACATCTGCTTTGGTGCTACAAGCCGAAGAGAGCAAAGAAGCAGTCCTGGCAGCCCAGGTGAGGGCTGCAAACAAAGGTTTCTATTATTGCATTATGCAGATGAATAAACTGGGGCTGGGAGCAGAGGATGTCAGCCTTCAGGGAATAAGGGGTCCAGGGGCTGGGCCTTGCTCCCTGTAAATCACACTGTCAGAGAGAGACTGAGGCAGCCACTAAGGGGTCTGCAGCCAAGTAACAGTCCCTCTGAGAGTGACGTTGTTGACATGGCAACAGCAGCATCCCAAGCCCAAGGAGATTCAAAGCTGGAGCAAGTGCGGTGACAGGAAATAGACGTCTGGTACCTCTGATCTGGCCTCATTTACCTTCGTTAGATGGTGCCCCCCAGGAGGAGGAGTCGGGGGTGACAGGCTTCCTCAGAATCCAGAGCAGGAAAACCCTCCCTGAGTCAGAGGGTCAGAAGTCAGGGCTCACTTTGTCCAAAGGTTCTTCAATCCAGGCCCCACCATCTGTTCCTAAATTAGAGCTGAGCCAAGGGCAGAAAGTAGCTATCAGACCTGGGTACTTGGATCCCAGACCCTGCCTCCCTCAGCGCTGAGGGATCTGACCAGGAAGGGTCTGCTAAGCAACCCACCACTCTCCCCTGCCCTCCCGGGTGAGGTTTTTCCATTCAAGGTAGTAAACTGCTGGAGGTAAGATAGGGGCATCATCCCCATTTGCCCACCCAATCCTGGGAGGCTGAGCACAGCACAGCCCCTACAGTCCCAGGGCTACCATTGACTTCCCTGCCCTCATGGCCATGGCCTCCATCAGCACTCGGATCTCTCAGGTGACAGCTGCCAGGTGATGCGATACAGAGGAGAGCCAGGAGCTAGGATGCCCTCTGGGCTGGGCCTTGTGAGGGGGTGGTCTTTAATGCACCACTGGGTCAGTGCTCAGGATCCAGGATGTGGAGGTGAGGCAGGTAAGGGGCCACTTCTCTCTCCATCCTCACCCCATAATTACCCCCCAGCCTCTCCACTCTTCTCTCCCCTGCAACACTGATCTCGGGAAGCAATTTTCACCTAGTCAGCACTTCTCCACGGGGACCTCAGTCTCCACAGGTGGAAACAGGTCAAGGGCAGGGCTCAAAGATTCAGACCAGATCCCTGTGTTTTTGCGAAAGAATGGAGGAAGGGCCCAGGCCTCCCCCACAATCCCCTCTTAACCTCCTCCCGGGTTTGGATAGATGATGCTGGAGGGACAGCTCAGAAGTGTGAGTAGGGGTGTGGGGGCGGGGGGAGGGGCAGACACTCAGCAGAATCAGAGGACTGGGCAAAGCCTAGGTTACCTGCTAGTCTGCATTAATCCTGCCTCCTTGTCCCTCCACTTTAGTCTGTTGTACCTCTCCATGGCTTGAAAAAATATTCTCAATATTCCTGTGCCCCATCCCATCCCAGCTGCAGACCTACCCGCACCTGAGGGTGCGGAAGGCAGCAAGGGTGTGTGTAAGAGTCAAGGACGCTGCAGGTACAGCCTGGGGAGGCTGGCAGCTGCCCCTTCTTCTCCAACCGTTTGTCAGCTCTTGGAGTTTCTTCTAACATTGGTGCCATTGGGGATCCACAGTGGCCACAGGAAAGAGAAGGAAGCACAGCTGATATTCAGACTCTAGCTGGAGGGAGAAAAATAAAGCCAACTGGCAGCTTGGGCAGATCGAAGGACCCCACCCCACAACATCCCACTGGGAGGTGCCTTATTTGTCTGGAAACCTGGCAGGTAGAGAGGGCTCTCAGAAAGGATAGAGGGAGGGGAAACTAGAGTGTCCTCCCAGAGCCCACTGGAATGGGAGGACTCTTGTCTGGCTGATGGTGGAGGGGGTGGTGTGTAGAGAGACATCGCAGACCTATTCCCACCATGAGAACTTGGAGGTGAGGCTGATGGCAGGATCTCAAGGATGAGGAGAAAGGTAACCATCATCCCAAGTGTCTTAGTTATCTAATGCTGCCGTAACAGAAATACCACAAGTGGGCAGCTTTAACAAATTTATTTTCTGACAGTTTAGGAGGCTAGAAGTTCAAATTCAGGGCACTGTTTAGGGGAAGGCTTTCTCTGTCAGCTCTAGGGGAAAGATCTTGTCTTTTCAGATTCTGTTCCTGGGTTCCTTGGCAATTGTCTTAGGCTAGGTTCTCTAGAGAAGGAAAACCAGTAAAGCATATAAATAGAAAGAAAGATCTATGTCAAGGAAATGGCTCATGAGGTTGTAGAGGCTGGAACGTCCCAAGTCTGTGGGTCAGGCTTCCCCTGATGCATATAGCCACAGGGGCTGATGAACCCAAGATCGGCAGGTTGGAGAGCAGGGCCCTTGTTTACAGGCTGTGAAGATTGATGAATCCCAAAGACCGGCAGGCAAGAAAGACTGCAGGTAAGCTGCTAGCTCAAGTCTCAAGATGAACAGGAGCCGGCTGCAGGATCCAGAATGAGCAAAAGCCCACCATCATAGGACTATCAAATCACTGAGGATCATGGCCCAGTCAAGTTGACACACAACCCTAACCATTATAGCAATCTTCACGTGGCATGTATCTTCCCCTCTGTTTGTGCTTCCTTCTCTGTGCCTAATCTGCTCTTTTATATCTCAAAGGTGATTTAAGACGCACCCTACACTGATAATGAGCTCACTAACTTTACACAGGAAGTCCTATTCCTAAATGCGATTACATCCACAGGTATAGGGGTTTAGGATTTTAAACACATATTTTTTTGGGACACAGTTCAATCCATAACACCATGGATTAAAAATAATAATGATGCATGGGGAGGAGAAACATCTCAGAACTCTGTCTGCCCAACACACTGGTTACCTTTAAGATGTTCCCTTCCCAGAGCCTTACAGCACAAGTTGACCCCAGGGAGGGGAACAGAAGGAAAGTCAAAAGGAAAGGGATGACTGGTGGAGGCTGGACAGATTTATTCACTTTCCTCTCAGAGGTGGGGAGTTAGGAGACTCTGCTTCTGGGGGGTCATCCAGGATCACCTCTGGACTCAGCAGCACCAATCTGGGGTCAGTCCCAGGAACAACAACCCAAATGCTTCCTGTCTGGCTGGGAGGGGCAGGTAGAATCCTGTGCTTGTTCCCTGATGGGGAATCTTCCCTCCTTGAAGAGCTAGCAGAGTTATCTGTTCTCGGCAGGAAAAGCCTTGGCAGAGGTTCAGACTCATATCTAAATAAGAAAGTCCTAACCCAGGAACCAAGGATGGACTTCCAGGATAGATGAACCTCTGAAATTGTCTGCAAAATTTGTGTATGTGCATTTATATTTTTCTAGAGAGAAAGTCCATGCTTAACTCTGTATTTCCAAAGGAATCCTTGATCCTAAAAATATTAAGAACTATCAAACTAATCACCTTTGAGGACAACCACTTCTGATCTGAATTTGCCCACATCTCAGCTAAAACCTCTATCCCCCTCAGGGTTGGATAGAGTTGCTTTTATGGATTTTCCTGCCTTCCCATGGAGGTTGCTATTTATCCTCACTTCTGACTTCTGCTCCTACATGCTCACCTCCACCTAATTATGGTTTGCAAACCTAGCTGTGCCTGGTACATAGAAAGCACTAATAAAATATGTGAATGAATGAATGTAATGAATGAACAAAATAAGTCTTTGCTGGGACCGGTAAGCCCCAGGTTACCCCAAAGCTGTTCTGATACATAGTTCACAGAAATGACAGCAGCTACCTGTCATGCTTCTGGACAGGGGTGCTGATATGATTTCTCAGAACTTCATCCCACCTCCCCTCCACATCTTAAGAAAAACAGGTTCTTGGGATATGGCATTAACCATCAAGTCCCAGATGTCTTACCCTCAAGAGGGGCTGCTGAGGAGTGTGCCTGCTGGAAAGGTGAGATGCGCTTCTTGGTAGCTTCAGTGCTGCTAGTCCCCAACAGGACGTCTGGAGGGAACTCACGTCCCCACATGTACCATTTCCAGGGCTTTGCCAAACTCTCTTCCCAAATGGCAATGTCTCCTTGCGCCTTCGGCCAGTTGTCAGTAGTGTTTCTAGATGGCTCAATTAGGTTTTTCACTCACTCTGTTTCAGAAGCTCGAGACCTGGAGAGGTTGTCTAACGGGTTTTAAACAACTAGAGAAGCCAAAGCACAAATGTACCGGTGAGGAGTTGCCCAAGGGATGGGTTGAACCAGGAAGAAAGTATCAAACCAGAGTGAAGTGCCACAGGGTTAGGGCTGGTGCAACCTTACTGCCATGGAGATGACAAAGGCACTAGGTAAGTGTGATGGAGGAGAGGCCAGTTCTGGAGCTGGGATTTTTACCAATACATATATATGTACAAATATGTCATACATACATATATACATACTTACATACATACACATATGTCATATATATAGGAGCCCTGATGATGCAGTGGTTAAAAGCTCGGCTGCTAACTAGAAGGTCAACAGTTCAAACCCACCAGCTGCTCCCTGGAAACCCTATGAGGCAGTTCTGCTCTGTCCTATAGGGTCGCTATGAGTCAGAACAGACTTGATGGCAGCTAACAACATATATATATGTACACACACACACACACACACACACACACACACACACACGTACGTATTTGACAAAAACAAGAAGAAAGCTGAAGGTCTGAGTGCTGACAGGCAAAGGGGCCTCTGGGGAAATCCTGTTCTGAAGCAGGGCCCTGGCAATTGTGCTTATGGGCAGATCAATGCCTCCTTGGTTCCCCTAGTTCTTTCCACTTGGGATAATGGCTTCAGACCCTGGGGCAGCTGCTCAACTCCACCCAATGTCTTGGAGAACACAAGAATATTAGCCACTTGTAACGTCAAACATGGAGCCCTGGTGGCACAGGGGTTAAGTGCTTGGCTGCTAACCCAAAGTTTGGTGGTTCAAATCTACCAGCCACTCTGCAGGAAAAAGATGTGGCAGTCTGCTTCCATAAAGATTACAGCCTTGGAAAACCTATGAGGCAGTTCTACTTTCTCCTATAGGATCACTATGAGTCGGAATCGACTTGATGGCACACAACAAAAACAACTCAAATAGGGATTTTGTAGAAGAAATACACAGATAGGATAACCAAAGCACAAATGCTCATTCTGAACTAGCAAGCAGGTGAAGCTGGTCCTATTTCTATTGTGTGCCAGGCTGCTGAGTCTTGGGGACAAGGGCTGCAGACCCATGCAAAGAAAAAAGGCAAAACTTGGTGCCACAACTTTGTTCTCAGCAGAGGCCCTGGCTTGCCCTCCCCATCTACCCCAGTGTGTGCACAGATGGCTGACCTGACTAAGGGCAGGGCTTATCCTAGCCAATGCTCATTTGGTGAAGTGGCAGCAAATGGGGGAAGGACAAGAGGTTGAGTCAAATTTACCTAACATATGTAACATAACAGGTGCTCATTAAGTCTTAGTTGCCACTGAAGAAGGTGAGAAAGGGGTAGGGATGTACTGAGAAGTAAAAGACTGAATTGAATTAGTCCACTGACTCTAGACTTCAAAACAAGGCACATTCAGAAGAAATGCTGATTTTAATTTCTGACAGAATCCTTTTTAATATAAAACAAAGATAAAACACATCTCAACCCTGCAATCTGCCAGCATGCCTTGTTTCTACAAGATGCATGCCAGGCCACAGGACTACTAGCAAAGAGTCCCGAGGAGCATGTGATGGGGAGAAGTAGAAAAAGCCAATCTCCGGGAAGCCGGGGCAAGCCCAACGGCTGAGACAGATCAGAACACTAGAGCAGTCCTTGTCTTTCCAGATCCTCGTTAAGTCTTCTTATTCACGACATTCCCACTGGAGTCTTCATACTCTTCCTAAAAAGGAAGGGGGGTACACGTTGTCAGCTATACCCGCTGGAGAAAATGTTTGGAACCAACATCTGGGCACCTGAGCTCATCCTGGCCTGATTCCACAGCACATCTTGGTACTCCAAGAGTGGCGTTCATCTAAGACAGCCCTTCTCACTGGGGTTCCCCGAGAGAATCAAGCTCTACTGCCCTGAGGCATCCACTGTGTAGTGAATTAACTTCTCTTCTGGGGACCTGGAATGGTACTGTTCTGAGTTATGACCTGTCCTTGGAAGATCTGAGAAAATAGTTCATTTGAATCACGTTCCGTGTTTCAGATGAGGAATCCTACTTGAGAAAGGCAGATCTAAGACAAGAGCTTTCAAACGATTTCCAGGTTTCTGCCTAAGAGGCCGGTGCACAGGGTGACAGGGAAGCCAAGAAGACTGTGCTTTCCCACAGAGAAGTTCTGCTTCGTTCTAATTTATATATTGGAGTTCCACATCACAGTTTGTTTGCAAAGGGTTTTGCTGCTTAAAAAAGAAACGCTGAAAACCACTGACCTAAGTCAAGGGAGCCTGTTGCCCGTCAGTGTGGGACTCAGGGTGAATTGCCAGCATACCTCCCCCCATACACATCATCCTCCATCTCTGAAACGTGCTGTTCAGAGACCAACCAGGAAGCCTCCTCACCCCTACCAGAGGATCACCTCGCATTAGAGGCTTTCCTCAAAGTAGATGTCACTTGTGATAAGGATTCTTAACTTCATGGCTTATGAACCCCTGTGGCAGGACAAAAGATTGGGTACTCCTGGTTACCCTACAAAAAGCATTTTCAGTAGGAGAATCTGACCTGTCTTAAGACACAGATTTAAAGTGGGACATATTAAATATCACAGACAAATTAGGCTTCCATGTCAAGAGCCAAAGTATTGATACTGTCACATTATACTAGCTACTGCCATGATCAAGGGACATGTTCTCCTCCCTTCTACATGGTGAAAGAGCTCTGTCACTTGATGCTGTCCCTGACTTTGTCCCAGATCCTAATCCCCTACGTTAGCACCCACCTCAGTGTCAGGCTGCCACCGCTCTGATGCCTTCTGCAGTTTCAGCTTGGCCCACACTGCAGGATGAGAAACACGCAGCAGTCAGGATTCAGTGAGCATCCACTGGGGACACAGTGTACAACACCACCCTCCCCCCTACTCAGGGCCTCCCTAGATGACACTGCCCTTGGGACTCTTGCTTGCCCTAAACTGCAGTTTTGGTTCTGGACCACCTACAGACAAAACCCCCTCGACTGCAAAATTTATCACAATCTTTGTTTTACTGTAAAAGAAAATTAGATCAAATATAACTGAAGACCTCATAGAACAGAAAAATGATGCTCTTGAAGGAAGAACTTAGTTTATATGGAACAACTTCTGGGAATTTTGGGACAAAGTGGCCTTACTGCCTTAAAGACTATAATAAGAGAGAAAAGGAACGCTACCAAATATGTCAAATACGTCTGCTTAATCTGGTACATATATTTCAAAAACTTCAGAGAAAAACAGGTGTGCTATCATGGCCACAGAGTCTAAAAGATAGGATGGCTCAACAGACACGGGAGACATTAAAGACAAAATTCTGTCAGCTCATTAACAAACCGTCCCACTGAAGACAGGAAAAGGAAGATAGCTACAAAACTACTGCGGAGGGGAGCAATCAGATAAGACAGACACAAAACCAGGGAAAGAATGACATGCATCTTTAAGAATGACGTCAAGAAGGTACACTCTCAGCACAAATGGATACAGGGAATAGATAAGATAGGTCTGCTGCTAGGGAGGGAAGATGATAAAACATTAGTCGATGACAGTGAGAAGGCTTAACTACTTGATTCCTATATGCTTCCATCTTTCCCATTAAGTGGAACAATCTTTACACCTGACAAGAGTAGAGAGAGAGAAAGTTGAAGCCTAAGAAATAGAAAATGAGACAATGTATGTAAAGATGCTTAGCTCTGTGCCTGCTATACAGATGTTCAACAAATGTTTTTTCTTTTTTCTTTTTCCCTCCTTGCTGATTGCTATAAATTAGCTGAAGTCTTCAGACCCAGATAGCAGGCCTATCAGGAAAGAGTGGAGAATTTATCATGTGCTTCCTATGTGCCAGGACAGGGCCCTGACATAGTCGTTGTCCATGCCATTCTGGAATCTGCTAAGTTAAACCAGAGAAGTATTAAAATACCGGAGGATGGGAAATGCTGTCATGATTTTCTTAAACGAAAACATGGATGTGGGAAACTAGAGCAGTAAGTGAGGCGTTATTCTTCAGAGAACTCTGAGAGCAATTAGAAAAGAATGTGATCACCATTAGGCGCCAGGGAGGTTTACTAAGTCAAGTAAACTGTTTCTGATGTGATACTTGACTCAATAAAAGGCCACAGACACAGGATATCATCATTTTAGCAAAGCACCTGCTCTTATAGGCAATGTACCTAGATTTTGCTAAGGTGTTTAAGTATTATAAATGAGATAGCAATCTTTGGACTTGATGCTTTAGCAGTTCATTGTTTACTAGGTAGATAGATTTATAACTGCTAAATACTGGTGAAGTGTGACCAACCACTTAAATGGAGGTCCCTGGTGGCAATTCCGCAGTACTCTTCCTTTGCCGTTTTTCGTTCAACGTTTTTTTTTTAAAATATCAATTGTCTGGAATAATGGATAAATTTACAAGTGAAATTCTTCATTTAAGTAAAAATAAATAAAACCAACTGCAGCTTCTGAGGAGATGCAGCTTAAATGACAGTGCTGAATCCCTCTCTCCTGGCTAAGAGCTCCAAGAGAGAGAAAAGAAAAACTTCAACAGAATAACCTAAAACAAAGACAGGTAAAATCCAGTGTAGCAACTGTGCCAATGGCTACTTCCCTGCCCACAGAGCAGGCTTACTGGAGTGCTACACAGACAATTCCTTGTCTCAAGAATAACTTGATAAATGTCATCTCATTGGTTTTTTATTCAAAGAGGCAAAGGCTCATTTAAGTCCCAAAGGGAGATGTGGTCAGCACCCTCTTTAGTCCCAAGTAACGGGGTAGAGAAATGACCAAGGAGTCAGATTGGTCTAAGATGTTGGTAGAAAGAAAAAAGAGACAGCAGTACTAAAATAAGCAAGAGAAAACGGAAATGAGGTTCAAATAACAGAGTGGCAGAATGAACCGGAAACTTTCAGGCATTATTTAAGACTAGCACTGGTGCCTAAGGCCATATGCCTTATGCCTGACTTTAGACCTGCTCCCTCTCTAATTCCCTGAAGCTCTGCGCACTAGTG